GGGAACTAATTTTCATTGCTAATTAAAGTGCAAATATAATGAATTAGTATGATTAGTATCTAATAAGTTAATATGACCATACCGATAGATTGGGATGTATTAATTGGGCAGATAAAAAAAGGCTATGCTAGGTGAACCTTACGTTTCCGTAAAACGAACTTTCGCGTTTATATTAGAAAAGGTATTGTATTATTATATAAATAATCATACTAATATTATAAATACGAAAACATATCTGTTTGTTGGTTTCTTTGTTGCCTTTTCGATTTCAGCTAAACGATTGAACAGTCGTAATGAAAATGGACGTGCAGATAAATTGTATCATGATAACGAAAATAGGTAATCTTTAATCTGAAAAAAAAAATGGACGAAATTGCGGGTTGTTACAAGTAGTGAATATAAATAATGTGAGAAAAATGCACACGTATTGAGGCAGCAACACATATGTTGGTGGCTCAATACGTTATTAAGTTATCTTTAATCTGAAACAAAATCGACTAAGTTGCGGGTTGTTACAAGTAGTGAATATCCTAATGAGAGAAAAATGCAAGTATACACATATGTTGGTGGCTCAATACGTTATTAAGTTAGCTGACAGCATCCATTCCCCAGCGCAAACAGACGCAATGAGCTCTCTGTGGATTTAATAATATCGTGGCTGTACTGCCAGGCTATATATCTAAGTACATACGCAACGTTATACGAATACGTAAATTGTTTGTATGCTGAATTATGTAGTCTTGTTAATGTTATAGCGGTAGAGAACAAATTCTGTATGAATATATTTTTACACATTTGTTTGTATGTATATATTTCTAAAAATATTCATTATTAAAAAAATTCAGTGACTATATACATTTTGTTAAATTGTTACAGAACTTCTGAAACTATTATGTTATACAATTTTTGCTGATAATAAATTCATCAATACTATAAAAAAAACAACATTAACTGCTAATTATTATTTGCTAGCCGTTATCCGCAATCTTGTTTGAACAAACTTTCATTCCCTATTTCAATGCCTGCCAAATTGTTTTTAGTATATAAGATAGCCTATGTCTGCCGTCATGATACAATCTACCTTCACGTAAAATTTAATTAAGATCTGCAACTAACAGACAGACTTCAGCATTTATAATTTTAGTATTATTAACAATTATGATACCAGAGTAGGTAGATCTTAAAGATTTGGACGACCTATACTTATCTTCATATAAGGCTCAATGTCTAGCTTTCATTGGTTTTTGTTATCGTGTTCATGGAAAAGTAAGATGAGATTCATGCCTTTTTCAAAAAGATTATATTGTAATTTTTCCGTCGGAGGGATGACGACATTTTGAAGATTTTTCAAGACGAAAAAAATGTTTTATGTCGAGTATTAGTTGGTTTTTGTTATTCTGGTTACGATGCCTTTACAATAACAATATTATTATATTTATATTTGATTATTCACATAGAATTTAACAAATCTATAATATACTTTCCTATTGTTTCTATATAATCCGTATAAATTGAGATATATATAGCTACAACTAAAAAGCTACAGTTTTTAAAATAAAACAATCCACATTTCATTCAAATAGATACAGAATATTCGAAGTGCCTACTGCGTAACTATACAACAGGAACGTGCTATATTTCTACATGATCAGGGTGGTGTGATACACTATCTCGGTCACGTAGCAGCATATTACTTAACAGATATCATTATTAGATTAACTATATTACAGATACTCCTAGTTGTACGTCTTTGAGTAGTGACGGAGAGGAAAATATTATAAATATTAAAAACAATTGCTAATAGATAACATGAAATATTCTTTAAATCGGTTATACATATATATGTAAATTAAAGTCATTGACATTCATTATTTGAATTTGGTGCGTAAATATATATTGACATTTAGCATTGCAAAAGAATCCCAAAAATTTATTTTTTTAAATATTACTGCTACAGGCGGCTTGCATACCATTATTTTGATATCCCTTTTTTATACACTTTTGACTTTTGTTGTGAGCCCTCTTATTTTAATTATATTTTTAATAATATTATATCATATATTTTATATAAATTAGGAATCAGTTTAAAATTAAAATTATTAGAAAAGAAAATAAAAATAGTTGTTACAAATGTGTACCCAACCGCCAATATTTAAAACTTTAATTTTAATAGTACCGAACTAATTATACAGAAAAATTAATACATAACGAATTAGATCGAAATTACTATTATGGCGAAATATAAAACAAACATTATTATAACATAATTGATTAATCAGACTGTATGTTTGCTAAGAAACTGATTTTAATTGTGGGACCTTTTATTATAAAAGTTTATCTAGTTTACCTTAAAAAATCTAAGTTATAAGCTTCACTTAACTTTACATATATATTTCCTACACAATCAAGTAGGCAATCAACTTCTTTGCTTATCTAAAAAAGTTCCTGATGTCGAACGGCACCGAGTCGCAGTGTTTGCATAATTATACTCAGTTTCAGCCAAACCAAAGCGCTTATTCGAGTTAAACCACTCTTTGCTTTTAAGCTTAGCGCGGTCCTAAGCTATTATCAAACCAACCAATCTAACTAACAATAAGATCACAGTACCTACATATACATATGACTATACAAATAATAAAAAAGTAACTGATCGCTGTCTGTACATGGAAGATGTTACTATTTACAATCATAAGAGCTGTCAGGTTGTTTGCTATAACGATTTTTTTAGGCTTTTAATATTTTTTTACTAGATGATTCAGAATTTATGTCAGGACATCAAGCCGAGTAGATAAACAAATCATATATATTATCCATTACTCCTTTAAAAAAAGTACGTTATATTATATTTAAATTGATTTAATTTGCTATTAAAACTGTGGAGACTAATCGTAGATAATTTAATAATGTCAAAATAAAAAAAAACAAACCTTATTTAATCACATTTTCTCTATTTTACTTTAAATGTAAGTTATGTATATTTGATCATATAATCGACATTAAATGAAAAATTATATAAGCTACAAAAAATTCATTAAGTATAAGTTAGTCATTTACAATTTGATTAAATCCACTTAATCACACTAAACTTGATGATGCAATCATATTACCAACAATTACTAATGTTAAAGAAAGTCAAACTGAGAGATACTTGCATAAACCAAGCACCTTCACTTAGATAACTAAGTTAGAGAATTTAACATAGGGCGAACGTTATGGTCGCAAACTTTCAAGTTATTTCGGAGTATTAGTATCCTTCTAATTTGGGTTACTAAGTTGCTGTTGAATAACAAATCTTAAATTGATTAATTATTTATGACTTCATAAACAAATATGTATATTATGTTATCACGTAGTTTTAGCCGAAGAAATTATAAGCTTTGTCTTTTTAATATTTATCTTTTATATAGAGATAAAAGATGAATATTAAAAAGACAAAGCGAGACGAGACATCCCCATAAACGCTCATACCATACAGTTTTATAAAATTCGTCTGCACTTACTTCCATCCCCTATTTCATCCCTTCCATATTATTTTTGTTCTACAAAATAATAACTATATCCATCCTAGCAATACAATCTAACTTTAATATTTCACACCTAAACCAACTGTGATATAATTTCATATAGTAATAAATGAAACCTTGCAAAATGATCTTTGAGTCGACAAAATAAAACTCGACCATTTATTACACAGACAAAGTTGCGAACACGAACCAGTTACTTATATGTACTCCTTCATAACGTACATCAAGGTATATAAAATCATTAGTTCCAAAGAGTAGGCCGTGTCGCATTATCCTCTTTGTAGAACTGCCCTTCGGCACCACGGAAATTATGCCAATATTACTGTCGAATGGAACGTCTTGAGAGTTCCACTTGTATCCTCTGTGCCGCTCTAACAAGAAAGCTGTGCGCAGTAATTCCATTTACAAAATTTTGATTATCTTTTATATTAAATTATCATAAAATATCTATCATAAAATTTACGTGTCACAATGTTACTTGCAATGTTACATACTCCACCGAAACGGCTTGACCGATTTTTATGAAATTTTATATGTTTATATTCATTAGGTCTGAGAATCGGCTATTATCTATTTTTCATACCCCTAAATAATAAGGGTTGTCCACCCCTAACAGTTTTTTTTTTGACAATTGGATAATTTTTATTTTTTTTTTTAGATATGGTATTATAATATACATACGACCCCAAAAACAACAATTATATTTTCCCATACTCTTTATACCTGACTCTTTGTACCTGACAAACAGTGTCCGTTCAGAAATATATTGCGTAACTAAACTTCAAAAAGCCTTTGGTATATTATTTAATTCTGATGTGGAACGGAGATAGCTACTATTTCATATATAAATTAAATAAACAGTAGGGATCTACTAAAATTTTCCATAGACGTATCATAGAACACAACATGCGTGTAAACAAGCCATTCGTTGATTCAGTAGTAATATATATATTATGACACTCGAACAAGATAGCTATACAGACTAATTCCATTTTCACAATTTAGATCATCTTTTATATATTTTAAACAAGCAGTAGGAATTTACTACACACATCCTAGAAATAGAAAATAATAGAACATAGTCCATGTTTTCCGCTGATTCACTTGCATATATTAAACGCCTTACAAAAGTAATTCCATTTTCAAAATTTTATTCTATTTTAAGTAAATTGAACAGTGGTAATATACTAATTTTACTACTACATGTATTCTGAAACGTTGACTAGTGGCATAACAGCCCATGTTGCTCACTGATAATATGACTTCTTACAGGAGAAAGGATTTTTTAAAACGTTAAATTATTTCTAGTATTCCTTTACAAAAAGGAAATGTTTCTCTTTCTAATATTAATTTAAACTGTCGATCGATATCGAGATTGATCGAGTAAGGATTTGTTATTAAAAATTGATTACTTATCAATTTTTTAATACAATTAATAATTATTTTAATATAATTAATAAAATAATTTTCACTTACCGATTAAAAAAAAACTCGGTTTATAGATCGGTTTCCGACATCTGACAACCCAGACAATATTATATCTGAAAAAAAATAAAAAACATTTATATATTTTTTTAATCAGGCAACGTTATTTCCTAGGGGAAGAATAATGGGACTAATTGCTAGCTACCTGGTCTGTAATGGGTCGTTACCATGATACACACACATCTTTAACATGACGAGTAAAAAACAAAAGTTCCAATTTAAAATGAAAGAGACACTAACTTCTTAACATTCCATGAATTTACCGTGCAGATGCCGGGTCCATCGTGTGGCAGAGAGGAAAACTCCGAGCAATTCCCGGGACTTGTGACCCGGGTGTAGATCTAAGGGACCCCTTGCCGACATACGTCACTACTCACCTTCACCGCTCGTATTTCTCTCCCTGCCCAACCAAATCTGGTAAGAACCTAGCTAGTGCTTTAGACACATGTTCTAGTATACAACTTACTACAGTCCTAGTCAGGCCAAGATCTTTTAAAATTTGTAGAGAGATTTTGCTAGTAGGTATACCTATCGTTCCCATTTCGACTGTATATAAATTTATTTTGTTAAATTTATTTATTGAAAATAATAAGACGTAATACGTAAACAATAAAATAATTTCAGGAATCGTAAAACAAATTGTTGATTTTGATCATTAATGAAATGATCCAAAGAAAAAATTCAATAGCAAATAAAATAAATATCTATCAACACCTACATTAGCGAAACCATTTATCAATAAAATGAAGCCATGCCGCAAAGCATACGTCCGATGGCAATCGTTTTAACATTCCAAGGCTATATTTAACAACGTTAAAATGTGATCAAATCTAAAAAATATTCCATGAAACATATTATTTTTATGAGTATTTCGTTTACAGATGAAATAAAGAGTATTTATTCAGTGTTTTTATAATGAAAACTAAAACAAACAAGTGCAATCAAGAAATATAAATAATCTTTATTCAAATAAACTTATTATACTTTTGAATAGTCACATTTTTTTATTCTACCACTCATTCAGAACGCAGACACATTACAAGAATAATAAGCAAGAAACTTACGTGTTGCTCATTTAAATAATGAAAGATGCTATTAAGTAATCATTTTATTTATATGTAACGATTATTGCCACTGCTGCATATATTCCGCAAACAAATTTGTAGATATAGAACTAACTATATAACATGAGAACCTATTCAGTCTCAATGCAATTAGCAAGCTAGCTGTATTATGTAAAGCTGTTCCCTTGTCAACCGAAATCTTATTTGGCATCTAGTTATGCCCGCGACTGTGTACGTATATGTATACATTTATGGATTAATGGTGATCAAACGACCATAGTAAATAAAGCATTTTTACGTCGCCGTTGTTTCATCAAATAATATTCAGAAATAATACCTTTATGATTATTTTTTAAATAAATTACCAAATAATTAATAAAATTGTTCATGGCGCATTGCAAATTTCATAAAATTAATTGTACACCCTTTATTTTTCTATTTTCGTTTGCTTATATATAGACCATTATCTACAAGCCCGTAAATTTATATTTTTGTTTATATGTATTCAACACCTTATGCAAATACTTATATGGTTGTATTTTAAATATTATTCGATACAAACGAATAAGATCTTTCGTTGGACAATCTAGTAAAGATAATGGTAGTGAGGTAAAACCTTTATTTACTATAGAATTAGTTGCGTTAAAACTAGTAGATAAATGATAAATAGATATGTATATAAAAAAATCATTTGCTTCGAAATCAAACAATTGGTTGGTTACCAATGTTTCTCTCACTGGTGAGTCAGTTATAAATATAAATTGATAGACAAAATTATTTGATTTTAAGCAAATTCAAACTCACGACCTTATAAATCCATTCCAAAAGTTGATATATAACCACCGAGCCTTTCGTATTATACCATAATAAATACATATTTATTGCTTTATGTAAAAAAGTATAAGGTGACAAATACTCACTGAAATAAATCATACCTACAAAAATATATCACCTAGTAACAGAATTTAATTAAACAGATTGTATGAAAGATTCGCAACAATATTCTATCATTATTAAATTTTCCAATCTTCAGAACTCAATTAAACAAACGAATTAATTTCACGAGCAAATAAGTCGATATTGTATTAAAAATCAAATTAAATGACATTGAAAGTTATTCAAGTCTTAATTTAATTTCAACAATTGTTCATTAATATTTAATATGCCTAATTATCTGGGAATGGACCGCTTGAAGTTAATTATTAATTTACTATTCATTGTATAAAGAAGCGGATTTTAAACGTAACAAAATTATACAAATACATAAATGTCGATGTTGGTCCATCTAGAATGAAAATCGACTTATACATTCTCTATGACTACCCCATAAGGTACCTGTCGTAGTAATGAATAGATAGACGAAAAAAATGTCTTCGTTTATTATTTTGTTGTTTTGACGGCCTTGGTGGTTTAGCGGTTAAGCGCACTGCTTTACTTCCGATGGTCACAGGTTCGATTCCTCGTACGGTACAAACATATGAATTTATGAGTATATTATGTATGTATTTTCCAAAAATATATATATAAGCAGTAGTATAGTAAGTATTAATATCAGTTGTCCATAACACGAGTTCCGCTTACCGTGGGACTAGATGTCGCTGTGTTAATTGTCCAGGATTATTTATTTACAATTGAGTACTAGTAAATCTTACCTTATCTGCAGGTATTATGTCAAGGATGTTGCATCACATATACAAAAAGATATATCAATACCAGCTGATACCAGCGAATTCAGCTGACTTTTTAAGTTAATAGATATAAGTTAGCTTTCCTCTTGATACAATCTGCTTATATATCAAGTGTGATTTAAATCCGTTCAGATGAAATATAACTGACTGACGAATAAACAATATTAGTAGGAACTAGAAACTCCTCGTTTAATTAATATAACCCAATTGATTATGGGATTAGATGTCTAACATCAATGTTATGTTTATAATAATATTCCTAATACACAGATCCTGTCTATAAATCTATTCCATCCCTAATTTGCACGTGAATTACTACCCCTAATCCACAGCAAACCCTCCATACTTACTCTTTACCTATCCCTTTACTAATATTATAAATTCTAGATTATTAATAGTGTAGGTACTTAATATTGTATAGTATATTCCTATGGATAAAGTCAATTAATACAGTAATTAATCTGGGTATATAATAAATAATTAATATATTTGTTAATGATGAGTGGTAGAATCAAAATATGACTATTCAAAAGTGCTTGTAATGAGTTTATTTGAATAAAGATTATTTCTTTTTCTACAATTTCATTTATATTTTCTAAATTATAATTATTTTTACACAACTTAGAATGCAATACAAATGAACTTTTAAATGGAAATGTCCGGCTTCATGTACCAAAGGCCACCACATCATAGAGTATACTGGATATAAACCTTGTACGTTTAACACATGTGAACATTTCATATAACAATTAATATGGAATAAATAGCTACAGCGGTGGTTAGGTACAAATGTTATGTAAATATATGTTCAGAAATATTCAACAAACGAATAAAAATACATCAAATCTTAACTCATAATATTAGGAAATTAAAACGACATTTTTCACGATTCACAGTTCCACAAAGGCCCTAAAAAGATACGAGCACTCGTATTTTATGTTTCAGTAAAACAAAAATAACTGACGAGCTCGACAAGAGCCACGCACGCTGAAACAATGCGGTGCAGTCGACGTTACAAATAAAACATCATCACGCCATACCGCAACTATGGGGGCCTGATCTGAAATGTCAATATATCGATTATTTTATATATGTATATACTAGCGTACCGGCTTAGCTCGGACAACATTACAACTCTTTGAATTTCTCGGCTTGCTCTAAACTATAACACGCATGTATTATACATATAAACATATAAACGTTCTTCTTGAATCACTCTATCTATGTAGAACTGAAAACTGTATTCAATCCATTGCGTATTTTAAAAGATCGTCGATCGTCGGACCCTTTGTTTTATACTGTAAGATATGACTTTTATCTTATTGGAATAGCAAACAAGCTAACTGCATACCTAATGGTAAGCACTAACCGATATATATGTATGTACATCATCAACATGCGTTGCCATTCCCAAGGACTAAGATGTCATATCTCTTTATCCTGTAATTTCACTTAACGCGAAATACAAGAAACAGCTAAAATAGAGATCAAGCAGATGATTATGTACAAAGTACAAGTTCATACGATGTAGTTGAAAGAACAAACACGAAAAAAAAACTAATTATGCCGCTACTTATGTTCCGAGTTGTTAAGTAAGTTCTTCATAAGTCTATTTACTATTTCAATGTAAAAGGAACGTTAACATGTTTATTACACAAAGCTTTTTACATTGAGCTAGCTTCACCGCAAATGTCACTTAAACCCCGACGTCGACGCTGAGGTGCGCCGTGCAAAACGTCGCCAACTTCTAGAACACGTCGTGTTTATTTGAAGATAATTTCTGTTGTGAAGGCTTTTATGTTTGCCGGTATTGCACAGTTTTTTTAAACAGTATTATTTTATTATACTACTCGCCCCGGCTTCGCTTGGGTATACATTTATTATATATATAAACCTTCCTCAAGAATCACTCTATCTATTAAAAAAACCGCTTCAAAATCCCTTGCGATGATTTAAAGATTTAAGCATACATAAGGACAGACAGTGACAGCGACTTTATTTTATACTATGTAATGTACCTACGACGATCTCGGTGATTTAGCGGTTTTGATTATAGTAAGTTCGATTCCTCGTACATTTATTTAACCTATACAATTTAGTTAACTAACTTATTTATATTACTGTTTGTATTTATGAGTATGATTTTTTGTATTGGTCTGAGTGTTTTCTATTTGTAATTCGTATGTACTTATAAAATGTAATTAAATATTTCTGTTTCGAAGTAACTATGTATAGAGTACAATTTCTGCTTTGTTTGTCTAGACGGCAATGTGTGAATCCCGAGTAATTATATTATGAGTAGCA